TCTAGGATGGTAATCCTGGAAGGAGCTTGCTTGGTTACAGCAGGCTCACTTAAAGAGGTGTTTTTCTTTTTTAATTATACCAAGATTAATGTTTAAATATTACGATTGTGACCTGAGCCATCACGTTTACTATGAATACTTTTCTTCCCCCTGCACAATAATTTGTTTTTCCTGGTGTTAGTGATGACCTAGTTCTTTTGTTTACTGGCTTGTTTTCCTTCATTTAGTTTTCTTTGTAGTTACTGCTAATTCAATGCCAAACTCTTTTCCCATCTTGGAAATCTGCTCAAACACGTTAGGTGTTCTACCTAACGACTTCCTCTTCTCGGAAATCTCTCCTGGCAACTTCTGACCTACTCTAATTGGACCAGTGGATTACTGTCCCGACCTGATGCATAACTGTCATCCTGGGACTCTTTTCAACATTGTTCTGAAAATCTCTTGCATCTCTCTCCTGGGCTAGCCTCTGTTACCTGGTTTCTTTGTCTTCTCTGCCTTGGTTTATATCCGAGCTCTAGTGGAGTACATCCTCGAGTAGCTTCCTGAGAAAGGATGCTAGGGTGGGCATAATTTTCAACTCCTTGAACATGTGAAAATAATTGTTTTCCCCTCACGTTTACTTGATACTTTGTATAGCATACTAGGTTGAGAGAATAATTTTATTTATTTTTAAGTAAGCTCTACACCCACAATGGGGCTTGAACTCACAATCCTGAGGTCAAGAGTCACATGCTCTACCAACTGAGCCAGTCAGGCGCCCCAGAAGAATAGTCTGAAATCTGAACCATCAAGCCACTACCTCACTGCTGTCTCCCTTCTGGTGTTGCTGTTGAAATACCTAATGCCGCTGTGATTTTGGTCCATTGCAGTAAAGCCGTTTCCTTTTGTAGGGTTTTTCTTTGAAACCAGTCTTCTGAAATTTTGCAATAAATAAATTTTGTCAGTCTATTTTCATTAAATGTTACGGGCATTTAATGGACCTTATTCATCCTGAAATTCACATCATTCACAGCTGGAAATAGTGTAGTTTAATGACTATTACTTTAATGATTCCCTCCTGTCTATTTTCTCCAATTATTCAGATGTTGGATACCCTGGACTGGACCCCTAATTTTTTTTGATACTTTCTTTTTCATTTTTAGATTCATGTTTTATGCTCTATTTTCTGGCATACTTCTTCAACTTTATCATCCACCTTTTTTTGTTAATTTTTATTTCCATCATCATATTTTTAATTTCTAAAGCAACTTGCTGTTCACGAAGTTCCTCTTCTTAAAAATAGCCTATCATTCTTCTTTTATAGATATACCATTATTCTTATACCTCTTGGAGAATACTGATGATTTTTGGAAGTTTTCTTTCCTATCTTTCTCTAATTAATGCACGCAACTTTGCTTCCTCCAAGCTACTTATTTGTCGAAGGGGGTCTTCACTGTAGTCACCTGGATTCTTCTGGTCTTTGGACTGGTCAGATTATCCACAAGAGATGCTTACAATTTTCTACTGTGAGGTAGAAACAGGTCTGACACCTGTTTCTTGAAGCACCACAGGCCAGACTCTGTCTCTCACGCTCTTCCCTATTGCACCCACCCACCCAGCCCCTGCCCACTGTGACCACCTCACTGGCAGAGTGAGGAGCCGTGGGGGAAGGCAGGCTGTAAGGTTGTGAGAGGGAAACAGGCCAGGATAGCTAGCAAGCATACATGTCCTGCGGGGTTAAAGCCATCAGGGTCACAGGGAGAGTGAGGGGACACTGTGGGTCATGGGAGGCACCCTGAGCTCTCAGCCCTGGGTCTGAGCAAATGCCCACCATTTGCTTCTTAAAGGGATTTTGAAATCTGATTCTGATTCTGGAAGATGAGAAGAGAGAATATATATATATAAAGCTTTGCAGGTGACTGACTCTGCCATGGAGCCAAATTTGAAGACCTTTCAAGGACTACTGAGGTTTCTTGTACTCTTAAGAAGTATTGAGACTATCCAGTACACTTTGGCAAATCCTCAAGGATCCAAGGTTTCAACAGCAATGGGTAAAGGAATACCATATATCAATATATTTTGCTGACTTTCAGTTACTCAAAAAAGCATAAGAAGAGGTAAATCATATCATGCTCTTTTAAAGGCAAAAACGTAGTAGAGCATCAATCTGTGACCACATCAAACCACTTCTGAGTGGGTATAATTCCTGCTCTATATGACTAATATCCAGACTCACCATGGGTATTGCATCTAATTTTTGACATTATTTCTACGCTGAATGAAGAACACATTCACCGTTAAGTTTCTCACCACACCTTAGGTCACTAACTAGAAACCATGTTTACTGCCACAGCACTACAAGGGCTGGGAACAGGGAGCAAACACTAGGTATCTGAAGTACAATGGAGGACCATGGATGAGAGAAAAACTTGCAAAACTTGGGGAAGAGCTACTGAAATATGATTTCAAGGAAATACAGACTAGTTGAAAAACCACAATACAGAGATCAATTTCCTCATAACCACGAGAAGATAAAGGAAAAAGAAAATGGCACGGAAGAAGCAGAACTTAAAAGTGCCACAAAAATCATCAGTGACACTGGCCTGAGGATGGTGAACACAACTATGCTTTGTGGAAAAAGCTCTTTTCTTTGTTTCACCAACAAAATTTTCCACCAATACTTGCCCACAACTAATGACACACAGAGGCTGGTGAGAAAACAAAGCAAGGACAATAAAAATCCAGTGATGCCATGGCTCCTTTTTTTTTCCTTAAGATTATTTATTTATTTATTTATTTATTTATTTATTTAGTTCAAGAGTGTGAGAACAGGGGGAGGGGCAGAGGAAGAGAGGGAGAGAATCTCAAGCAGACTTTGCGCTGAGCACGGAACCTGATGAGCGGCTCAATCTGACAACCCTGAGATCATGACCTGAGCTGAAATCAAGAGTTGGATGCTTAACTGAGCCACCCTTTGAAAAGGTTCAGTCAGATCTTTAATCTCAATTCTGTCACTGAACTAGGAAATCAGGAAATAAAGGTTTGCTCAGAGTAGCTGCTGATGTCCAGTGAGACCAACAGACCCCTGGGCTCCCCCTGGGTTCTCCAGAGATCCCTAGGATTAAGGTAGGAAACAGGAGTATGGATGTACTGTACTGTTGGTTTTAAACCCAATCAACCCTAAGAAGAGAACATTTAATGTGTAAATGAGACAACTTGAAATGTTTTAATGTTTAGGAAAAAAAAGAACAAAATTATGCTCATGTTATGATATTAATGTTTGGAGTTGGACTTAAACATGGCAAGATTAATAAAGCACATCTTAACCATCTGTCAAAATTTCTTCCCCAATCTAACTATTAAGAAAACTGTCTATGTCAATGGATACTGATTTTGAAGAAAAATGAATAGTCAAAAAATTTAAAAGATATCTATGAATAAAACAAAAGAAAAAGTGCACAACAAAAAAAGAGCTATATGAAACATATTGATTCTATTATTTATCTAAACAATGTTTTTTCAGAGCTGTTACAAGTTCATGCATTTTAAAATTATAAAACATAACTGGCCATCATGAAAATCCTCATTATTAATGCCACAAATATTAATAAGCATCTGTGACTTATTAAAAATAAGAAAATAAATAATAGAAAAATGGACAATATATAAGAACAGGCAAAATAATTACAAATGGTCAAGAAACATATGAAAAAGATACTCAGTATTACTAGCAGTCAAGGAAACACTAACATAAAAGATATTCCATTTTTGCTCATCAGAATGGCAAAAATTAAAATGACTGCTTATAGTCAATGCTTGTTAAAGTAGAGGAAAATAGTCCTTCTAGAATTCAAAACCTCATGGGCAAATGTTCCAGTCAAATACATTAAAACTGAAGTTATGTCTCTTAATCAAGAAAATCCATTAACTGATATACAAAAGAAGTAATGTAAAGGTTTTAAACTACTATTTACTCTAGAATAATTTAGAATAACAACATTCTAGAAACAACATAAGATCCATGAATAAGAAAACGGTTGAAAATTACAGTTCATTCATACTATGGACTCACATGCAGTTATTAGGAAAATTAAACTACACAGTCATATATTGATTTTAAAGGATATCCATGATATTTTTTTAAATGCCATACAATAATATATATTGTTTTTATAGAGCAAAATAAACACACACGAAATAGCATATGAGCACATACACCTTTACAAGCAAAGGGAAAAGTACAAAAGAAAGAAGGTGTCTCCTGGAGAGAGTGGTGTAGACAGATAATGAATGGGAAGAAATGGGCACAATTCTACTTCACATACATCCACAGTACTCAGTTGGTTCTCAGGATTATGAATGCAGTCATTTGAATTATAAAATGTGAGCACATCCTTAAACTTTCAGATATACCTTTGGTATCTTCTGACTTGCTCACATATGTTAAGAAAGAGTCTCCTGTTTGAAGTGTGAAATTTTGAGACAATTTCCAAAATGGCTGCTGGGTCAAATCTTAGAAAAACTTAGTTCTTTTGACACATAGTAATCCAATTTGTAGTAAAAGAAATGAAAGAGAGCAGTAGGAAACTATTTTTATCTGTTTGTACATACAAATGAAAAAATATACATTGAGAACTCACTATAACATTGTTTTGGATCATAATATTTTATATTAAAACTTAGTGGCACTTTAGTATGAAGGTCCAAGGTAGAGCTACCTGAGACTCTCTTTTCTTAAAAACAGTGTTACAATAGCATTCCAGTGGATCTCACTTATTATTAGCAAACTGTTTCTCCATGAAACAAAAATAGAATAAGTTGTAAACAATAATATTCCAGTGAAAATACTTAATATTTAAACACAGTTTCCAATCACTAAACAAAGCAATAACCATGGGTTCATTTCAATATCACTCTCTTTACACATTTTTGTTTTTAAGTTATGGTAGAGAGATTAGACTTCAGCTGAAAAAATACACATGAAGAATGCTAACCCTCAGCTTAAGAAGATCTTTTCCTACCTTCACATTATCTGGATGCAGCCCCCCAGGGTGCTTGTCCATGTACTGACATAAATCAGTGTGCTAGAAGAAAAAAGGGAAAATGTATTAACATCCCTCTGGCTATAACATGATGAATCAATATTTTTCTACTTCAAAGTCACCATTGCCTTCTGAACAAAGCAAATATAAGACAAGTGGGTGGATTTTTTAGTGTATGTAGCTGAATGCTTCTCCGCCCTATCATTTTTAACCACAACTGAATCATTATCTTTATCTCTACGCTGTTTTATATTAAACATACCTGTGTATTAGAAGGAATTCATGTCCATGATTTGTTAAGTGCCTAATTTCCTAATCACTGAAAATATATTTAAAAAATAACTTAACTATAAATATATGTACCATAACTTAAAAAAAACTAAACCAACACACACACATACACACACCAAACCAATTAAACTGCAATTATCTTGTATTTTTCAAAGTGCAAATGCAAGTTATGATTATTTATTTTAGATGAGATGAAAATACTACAAATATATCATTGTAGAAAAGTTAATCATTGGATTTATTTAAATTTCTCATAACTATATTCATTAAAAAATAATTTAATAAGTTTCCAGAACCCCTGAATGTATTTGGCAAAATATACTTTATAAATAATAGAAATACTTTCAAAATTATAAATTAGGATGACTATATCCAGATACAGGTTTTATTTATTAGGTTTTTATTTAAATTCCAGTTAGTTAACATACAGTGTAATATTAGTTTCAGGTATACAATTTAGTGATTCAACACTTAAATACAACACCCTGTGCTCATCACAATATATAACTAAAAAGGAAGATCTCTAAATATATCTTATGCTGTTATTCTTTTAATTATCTCAAGCTCAATTTGCCCACAGTTGTATTTATTTTCTTCTTAATGCTTATTCTGCTTATGAATTATATAGAAATTCAGAAAACATGTAGAGTTGCTATTCCAATTTTTCTTCTCTTATTAGAGGATACTATAAGATTTATAACAATGAAACGTTTTATCATTCTGGAAAAGCTACTGAACATGAGTATTTATGCCCCATTATTAGGCTTCAATTATTGAAGAATTTAGTTTTATGCTATATTCAAGAATCTTGCTATAGCGATGGTGACAACAGTTGATTCCTTTATTGAGCTTTTATTGCATGCCAGGTGGTATTGCTGAGGATACAGAACAAAATTTAGCATTCATTCATTATTCATCATGTACTTCTTAAGCCCTTATTGTGTTCCCGTTACTACACTAGTCGCCAAGGTCACAGAACTAAATGAAACAGTTTCAAGTAGGGAAAAAAGACAACCACCACCAAAAAACAGACATACCGATAATTATAGTACCTATATTGTATATAGGTACTATAATAGGTACTATACCTATATTGTATATATTAGGAACAGTACTGGGCAATGTTTGAGGGCATACCAGGGGGAACGTATTGTGGTGTAGAGACGGTAGAAAAGCCTCTGGAAGAAGTCAGACATGAGTAGAGAATGAAAGAAGTTAGCCAATTGAAGGGAAAAGGCAAAGAAAATAGGATTGAAGAAATGCTTTTAGATTCCTTCTAAGACAATACTGCCTTTATCTTAGACCATACCCAAGGTGTTGAGCTTCCAAATGAAAGGAGTAAGTTGGAGGGGGAGACGAACCATTAGAGATGATGGACTCTGAAAAACAAGCTGAGGGTTCTAGAGGGGAGGGGGGTGGGGGATGGGTTAGCCTGGTGATGGGTATTAAAGAGGTCACATTCTGCGTGGAGCACTGGGTGTTATGCACAAACAATGAATCATGGAACACTACATCAAAAACTAATAATGTAATGTATGGTGATTAACATAACAATAAAAAATTATAAAAAAAAAAAAGAAAGAAAGTCAAACTCACTGAGGACAGAAACTATGTTTGATTTGGAAATTATTGCCTCTTCGGTCCAGGCAGAATGTCAACACAGAGAAGAACTGAAGAAAGGTGGAAATAGTTTTATATATAGTATAGCTCATTAAAAATGATGCTAAAATATAGTTATGAGTTCCATGGAGTTTTTCCTGAGTGACTGCATTTACTAAACTGAGGAATGAATTCTAGTCCCCAAATTGCCAGGTAACTCCATGTTAATTTTTCTGTCCTTTTGAAAAGGGCTAACACCTCCCTTAAAGATTTTTGAAGAACAGATAAAACAGAACATACTTTTCACCTATAACATGATAAACAAAAATGAGCTATTATTGAAGATATTGCCCATTATATAATAAAATCCACAGAGGAAGAACTGTACCACATATGTTCATCACTTCACACACAACAAATAAAACAACAGAAAGTATATCCAATTTTGTCAGTAATTATATATCCATGATATGTTACAATTCCTAATAAAAATGTAAAATCTCAGTTTACAAAAGAAAATCCAATTTACACTGTTTCCAAGATACAAACTAAAAATGATAAACAACAAAAAATATGAAAATAACAAATAATGTATCTTATACTATATATTTATGTTATTTATATTTTGTTATTCATACCGGTAAAGGAATCCTCATATCAATGTAAATATTAGACATAAAAGAATTCAAGGAAAATGTATTGAACATTAACAAACCTAACAACATGGCATGTCAGTATATAGCAAAAATTGGTAAAAATAAAAGAAGAAACTAGTAATTTCACAAATCTTGAGGTACTTAGCTTACTTATTTCAAAAGGCAACAAACGGAACTGGCAAAAAAAAGGGACGGTTATAAAGGATACGAATAATACAATTAAATAGCGTGTTTCCTTTTGTGCCCATTCAACTCATGCTACACATGCTTTTTAAACACAAATGGCATATTCACAAACTTGACAATGTACTAGACACAGATAAAGCCTTAAAAGTTAGAAAGCAGAAGTCATATTACATCCTCTCACCACAACTAAAATAAAATTAAAATCAAAATGTAGTATATTTCATCCACTCTAAGATACACAATTCTTTTTATCTCTGACATTGGAATGACAGCATGAATTTGCTCTTTCCCAGGCAGTATTTGGAATGTAGTTGGTATTGCCTGTGTTTGAGCAAACTTTTTATTTTTATTACTCTGATGGCATGGGTCATCAATGAACAATGTAAGGACCATCTGAGGAAAAAAGATGGAAGAATGAGATGTAATTGTTATCTGGAAACCCATTTATTAAAAACTTCAGGTAAGAGTCTAATAAAAAGTGCCAGAATTAAAGTCTGTAGGGCTCCTTCAGTGGGCATAAAGTAAAAACTCTGAATGATAAGAAAGTACTAAATCACAGTTTAATTGGGTGCATTTTTTTTCTCTTACTAGTACATCAAGTAATGCTTCTTCTAGTCAATAGGGTCTTAAGTTCAATGATAACAGGAATAAAATAATGAAGGAAGAAAGCAGTTAAAGGAAGAGAATGAGAAAAGGAGGAACAAGGTAAGAAAATCTATTTTTGTGGAAAATTTCTTTAAAAAAATAGAGAAAACCAAAAATGTTTAAATTATTTAAAAATGATAGTGAGATACAGCATAAATTTTAAAGCAATGGAAAATGGCCAGAGCTTTACTGTCAGGGAACTATAGATCATTAATTACATTCATTAATTTTAATATAAGAATGAAAAAAACATAAAACAACCAATAAACTAAAGCTAGAGAATACCAAAAAACCAAAGAGACCCAAAGAAAATAGATGGAATTAATGTAGTTAATAGCAGAAATTAATTAATTAGAAAACTAGAGAACAACAGGCTTCATCAATTAAAGAGAAACCCATTTCTTTGAAAAGCCCAATAATATAACCCGTGACATTGTAACAGCGTCCTATGGTGGCTGATAGTGGCTACACTTGATGTGAGCACAGCGTAACATAGAGAGATGCTGAATCACTATGCTGTACACCTGCAACTAAGGTAACATTGTGTGTCGGGCGCCTGGGTGGCTCAGTCGGTTAAGCGACTGCCTTCGGCTCAGGTCATGATCCTGGAGTCCCGGGATCGAGTCCCGCGTCGGGCTCCCTGCTCAGCGGGGAGTCTGCTTCTCCCTCTGACCCTCTTCCCCCTCGTGCTCTCTGTCTCTCATTCTCTCTCTCTCAAATAAATAAAATCTTTAAAAAAAACAAACAAAAAAACATTGTGTGTCAGCTACACTCAAATAAAAAAAAAACTTTTTAAGCCCAATAAAACAAACAAACCTTGGAAAAAAAAATTTTTTAAGCGAAGGGTTTTGTTAAGATGTAATCAATGTTAAGAATGAGAATAGTGGCACAACTAAAAATGTGAAGATTTAAAAATATACAATAAACATATAATACTATAAACTAAACAGTATTATACACATCTTTAAACCAATAATACATTTGATATCTAGATTAAAAACTTATGTCTCTTAAAAACACATAAGTTATTAAATTCAATTCTACAAGAGATAGAAATTGAACAGCTATACCTAAAAAAGAAGTACTAAGTTCAGATGAGTTTAATGGAAAATCTTCCAAACCTTCAAGTAGCAGATATAAATTTCCCCAGATGGCAAAAAAAAAAAGATAAAATGTTTCCCACTCCTTCTTTAAGGTTGAAATGTCAAAGCAGGCAAAAACAGTGGAGAGGTGATGAGAACTAAACCAACTACTTTATGACCAGAGATGTATTTAAATTCTAGTGACAGTAGGTACCAGAATTCAATATTGTATTAAAAGGCTACACATCAGTACCAAACAAGGTTAAAGCTAGGAATGAAGAAATAGTTCAACATAAGTGCACCTATTAATGTGAGCTTCTAAAATTAACAAATTAAAAAGTGGAATAGTGTCAGGTACAAAATTTTCACAGTATTATATATTTCACTTATTTAGATTTATCAAATGCTGATTTTACATAAATAAGATATATTAAATGCTGATTTTGCATAAATAAATAAGACAGTCTCTGCTCTAATAGAGCTTACATCCTGTAGATTTTACATACATGTGAATTATTATAATTTTTTTCCAAAGAAGTATTCAAACTTTTTGTTTAAAATTTTAAAAAACTCTACATATGAG